TGGCGCAGACTACCAATAGCTGAACTGCATGCGTGCTTAGAAACGATGCGTGCTCCCGTTGTGCCTTGCCGAAGCACATCGCAACACCCCGCCAAGCGAGGGGGCGAGGGAGGTGGAGGAGGAGGAGGAGGTCGACGACGACGACGACGAGGAGAGCAGGACAGATTTTGAGGAAGGTGAGGATGCGCCACGTCAAGGTCGTGTCTTGATATACTAGTGCTGAGGTGTACCGGACGGCTCCATAGACCAATCCTGAGCGGATTCCACGTTGGAGGAGGAAGGGTGGGGGGAAAGGATAAGAAGGAGGAGGAGGAGGAGGAAGGAGGGTGAGGGGGAGGGGGGGGAGGAGGAGGAGGAGGAGGAGGAGGAGGAGGAGGAGGAGGAGGAGGAGGAGGAGGAGGAGGAGGAGGAGGAGGAGGAGGAGGAGGAGGAGGAGGAGGAGGAGGAGAGGGAGGAGGACGAGGAGAAGGACGACGAGGAGGGGAAGGAGGATGAGAAGAAAGGGCAAAGGCATGACAGCAGTCCGCGTCCCTGGACGGCGGTTTGGAGGATATAAACAGATGTACACCTACAGAAAGATAGAAATAGTCATACACACATATATATATATAAATATGCATACATTATCCCAGTGCGACCCTACCTAGGAGTTGGAGCCCCTAGGAAAGCAGCATTAGTAGTAACAGTAAAGCTAAGCTAAAGCTAAGCTAAAACTAAGCTAAAGCTAAGCTAATGCTAAGCTGAAGCTAAGCTAAAGCTAAGCTAAAGCTAAGTTAAAGCTAAGCTGAAGCTAAGCTGAAGTTAATATAAAGTTAAGCTAAAGATAAGCTGGAGCTAAGCTAAAGCTAAGCTAATGCTAAGTTAAAGCTAAGCTAAAGCTAAGCCAGAGCTAAGCTAAAGCTAAGCTAAAGTTAAGCTAGAGCTAAAGCTAAGCTAAAGCTCAGCTAAACTTAAGCTAAAGCTAAACTAAAGCTAAACTAAAGTTAAGCTAAAGCTAAGCTAAAGCTAAGCTAAAGCTAAGCTAAAGCTAAGCTAAATCTAAGCTAAATCTAAGCTAAAGCTAAGCTACAGCTAAGCTAGAGCTAAGCTAAAGCTAAAGTTAAAGCCAAAGCTAAAGCTAAAGCTAAAGCTAAGGCTAAAGCTAAGGCTAAAGCTATGATGTGCTCTGCTATGCTAAAGCTCAGCGAAGCTAAGATGAAGGTAAGCGAAAATAAGATAAACTTGAGCTACTCTGAAGCTAAGCTAAGATGAAATAAGCTAAGCTAAGATGAGATAAGCAACGCTAAGCTAAGGGGACGTAACTGGGGGAACCGCGGGGCGGATACTGGGGGAACCGCCCGGGGCGCTTTCCACTGCCCGGCCCCTTTAAGCCCAGAGAGTTAGAACCCTTCTAGGCAGAGCCTAGGTAGGGAATACAAGCATGCATACATACAACATGCATGCATGCATGCATGCATGCATGCATGCATACATACATACATTTTTGGAGACATACATAAATGCATACATATATACATACATACATACAGATACATCCATCCATGCACATGTATATGTACAAGGCTGCCCTGGCGCTTCGCGCCACGCACCTTGGTCCTTCAAGTTTCGCATATGTTGGCACTTGGCGTCATCCTGTTTGGCCTTTGGACAGGGCGTTCCCTTTCAAGTCCCCTTACCCGTTCCTTGTTTGCTGCCGCCCTCGATTTACATGTTCGCGCTCCACCCGAATTTTCTCAACTAGGTTTGCCATAAAAGGTTACTGCTTGGTTAAAGGTTGCTGCCTCGTCCTCTTACGTTGCCCGTTGTCTGGAGGTTCCTCGGGTTCCTCGGGTTCCTCGCCCCCGGTGCCTACTAGTGTTCCCCAAAACATGGCTTGCCCAAGGGGCTCTTACTTTGTTAAAGGTTGGTGCCTCATAATGTTACTTTGCCCGTTTCCCTGATGCTCCTCGGGTTCCCCGGGTTCCTCGGGTTCCCCGCCCCCAGTGCCTCCTGTTGTCACATTGCCTGTTTCTGAAACGGTTCCTCGGGTTCCCCGGGTTCCTCGGGTTCCTCGGGTTGCTCGAGTTCCCCGGGTTCCCCGGGTTTCCCGGGCTCCTCGGGTTCTCCAAGTTCCCCGGGTTCCTCGGGTTCCCCGGAAGGGTCTCGTCAGCTTTTTTTGAGCCGTCTTGGGGCAGTCTTGGGGCCCTCTTGGGCTGTCTTGAAGCCCTCTTAGGGGCCTCTTGGGTCGTATTGGGGGCGATCTCGGAGGTCGTCGTGAGGGCTGCTACGACACAAAAAGCGAATATGCTGAAAATGTGCGTGTCCCCAGGGAATGGGAAGATTGCTCCTCTTGGGGGCCCTCATGAAAGCCTCTGGAGGCGTCTTGGGGACCTCTTGGGCCGTCTTGGGGGCCTCATGGGTCGCTTTGAGGCCGTCTTGCGCTGTCTTGGGGCTCTCCTGCGCCTCTTCGACCACTTCTCTGATCGCTTTGGGTCTGCTGGGCAAGGCCCGGCACGGCGCCCTGGGAGGCGCGGCAGGGCTGACGGCCCTCTTCGAAGGGCGTCCAGAGGGCCCCAAAGCCCTGGATCCTGGGGTCCAGTCTTCGGGGGGGTAACAGCTTTTCCCGCTCTCCCAGCTTGCAACAAGATAGGAAGAGGAAGACATAGCTTTAAATGCATAAAAAAATACACACCGACGCACCCCGACACACATACACATACATACCCATACACCCCCCTACACCCCCCTACACACATACACACATACACACATAGACACGTACACACGTACACACAAACACACATACACACATGCATGCATGCATGCATGCATGCATGCATGCATACACACATATCATACATACGTACGTGCATGCATGCATACATACATGCATGCATACACGCATATATGCATACATACATACATGCACGCATACATGCATACATACATGCATACATACATGCTTTGTTACACACATACATACATACATACATACATACATACATACATACATACATACATACATACATACATACATACATACATACATGCATACATACATGCATGCATGCATGCATGCATACCTACCTACCTACCTACCTACCTACCTACCGACCGACCTACCTACCTACATGCATACATACATACATACATACATACATACATACATACATACATACATACATACATACATACATACATACATACATACACACATGCATACGTCCATACATACACACATACATACATGCATGCAGGCATGCATGCATGCATGCATGCATGCATGCATGTATGCATTCATGCATGCATGCATGCGTACCTACATACATACATGCATGCAGCCATACATACGCACACCTATGCATAAACGCATGAATGCAAATGTACAGACACGCATACGCACCTACAAACAATCAAACATGCGCATACACATGTATGTATAAATGCACATATTTATGTATATGTATATGTGTGTACACGCATACATATGTATGGCTATGTGTATTACTGTTGGGACTATACGCTCCTCCCTATACATTCATATATATATGCACACATGTGTATATATATATACATCTATATATATATACGCACGTATACATCCGGGAGGATGAAGGAGGAGGAGGAGAAGGAGGAGGAGGAGGAGGAGAAGGAGGAGGAGGAGGAGGAGGACGACGAGAAGGAAGAGGAGAAAGAGAAAGAGGAGGAGGAGGAGGAGGAAAAGGAGGAGGAGGAAGAGGACGAGGAGGAGGAGGCCCCCGGGGGCAGGGGCAGACCGGCGGGCCCTGCGGCCCCCAGGGCCTGGCCGTAGAACTTGTGCGCCCCCAGGCGGTAGGGGTTGTGGCCACAGCCCTCGGCGGCACACCAGATGGACTCCTGGGGCTTCCCTCGCCGGACCTCCTCCCTCCCAACCACCCACCCCCTTCCTCCCCCCCCCTCCCCCCCCCCCTCCACCCCTCCTCCCCTTCTCCCCTCCTGCTCCCGCTCCTCTTCCTCCTCCTCCTCCTCCTCCTCCTGCTCCTCCTCCTCTTCCTCCTCCCCCTCCTCTTCCCTCTCCCCCACCCACCTGTCCTCCTCTCCCTCTCCATCCTCCTCCCCCTCCTTCCCCTCCTCCTCCCCGTCCTCCGCCCCCTCCTCCCCCTCTTCTTTGGACGTTCTGGGCATACTTAGATCGACGTGTCTTCCTCCCCCTCCTCTCCCTCCTCCCCCCTCCTTGCCCTCCTCCCCCTCCCCTTTTCTAGAAGAAGAAAAAGCTGCATAATCATGAACTTTAAGAGCTCCGCGCTCTGGGCCCCCGTGAGGGCGCCTCCAGCGCCGCCCCTGGCGCGGTCCACGTGCCAGGGAGGGGGTCCAGCGCCGATCCAAGAAATCCGCGAAGACCCCCGAGTAGTTATGCTTCTGCAGTGTGTTCTTCTTCGACCCTCCACCTCCACCGTCTCCAGCCCTTCCGCGCCCTCTCACTCATCCTCATGCGGTTCGTGCGGCTCGGTCGCGTCCTATAAGGCCATACCCGAAACAATCCTCCTCCCTACCTCCCCTCCCCTCCTCTACGCTTGACTTCGCTGGTGTCCAAGCGCATGTCAATGCCACGCGAGCCTAAACAGAGCAGAACCGAACTATTGAGACTTACATCTGCTGCGACGAGTCCGAAACCTCAGCGCGAGTCGATTCACTCGCTTTGCGACGCGAAGCCTACAGGCGCGGCACGGGTCGCCCATGCTTCAGCCAGCTCTTCTGTCAGCCCAAACCTGCCCAAAAGTTTGAACCGACCCCAAGTGCACACACAAACACACACACACATACACACGCAACCCCAGCCTGGAGCTCGCCGTCTTGGGCCCCCGAGAGACGAGACTCGGCGAATTGCGAGAGACGAGACAGTCAAAGTTGGTCTCCGCAAGAGGTTCGCTTCTCCACTCCGCATAATTACTGTGGGGCCAGGCCAGGAGACTACAATTTGGCCGCCCTGTTCCGCTACCACTTCAAGGCCAGAGTCGGTTCGCGGCAGGGCTTGATCAGGCTCTGAACGTCCCCCCAAACGAAACCCCCGCAAGACATTTAGATGGCAACTCTGCTGCCCTCCGATAAAGGCCGACGATCGGCCTTATACACCGAGGATATCATCATACAACCCGTCCTCCTCTTCTGATCCTTTTCCTCCTCATCCGTGTCCTGCTCTGGCCCGTGGTGACCCTCGAGCCCCCAAACCTCCATAGTGCACTGGGAATCGGAGAGGGCTCTCTGAAAAAAAACTGCATCGCCCTCCCCCTCTCATTCCTCCTCCTTCTCCTCCCCCTCCTCCTCCTCTTCCACCTCATCCTCCGACTCCGACTCCGACGACGACGTCTACGACGACGACGACGAGACGACGACGATAAAGACGACGAAGACTCTTCTTTTACTGTCCTCCTCCCCCTCCTCGCCCTCCCCCCTCCTCGTCACCCCCCCTCCTCCTCCTCCTCCTCCTCCTCCTCCTCCTCTTCCGCCTCCACCCGCGGAGAGGGGGGCGCGCCGTCCTTCTTCTGATTCGGGTCCCCGCACTCCCCCGAGCCGTCGCACCTGGAACCCAGACCCCCGACGTCGCGACTTTTGCCACAACGTCGACCGCAGAGGTATATGGAACCTTGCCCCGGGACCTGCTCTTCATCCAGAGTCGTTTTCATGACGGCCCCGAGGCCCGGGAGGGGACCCCGGAAGCCGAAAATCGGAAAATTGGGAAAAACCTCCCGTCGCTTTTTTTTCACCACGCGAGGGGGGGGGGGAGAGGGAGGGGAGGAGGGGAGGAGGAGGGCTCGAAGGAGGAGGGAGGGAGGGGGGAGGGAGGGAGGAGGAGGGAGGGAGGGGAGGGAGGGAGGGGAGGAGGAGGACCCCCCTGCTCCGAGAGAGGCCCCCGGCGGAGCACGCCCGGGGAGGGCGCGGGGCGCCCCCGGCGCCCTCGCCGCGAGATCCGCATGCGGGGGCGCGGCCCGCCCCCGGCGAGCAGCCCGCCGGGGCGGCCCCGCGGGGCTCCTGCCGCCGAGAGCGCCGCGGGCGCGGGCCGCTCGAGCGGGGCATCGGCCCCAGCTCGGGCCCCGGGCGTCGGGAGCGGCCAGGAGGGGGATGTCCAAGGGGGGGGTTCAATAGGGGGAAAACAAACCGACCTCGCTTTTGACCACCCTCGCTTCCAAGAGATACCAAACGATGCCAAATTGCAGCCTGTACTGGTCAGGCCCCCTGACGAGGAGGCGCGTGGTATGGCTTGGTTTTGCCTGGAAGCGAAAGCGGGGTAGGTAATTCACGCTCTGATTCAAGGTTCAAGGTTCGAGGTTGGGCGCATCAGGATGGCTGGTGCAGCGCGCCCGGCGGGGCCGTGGCCCCTCACTTCTGCTTCCTCTCCTCACTTCGCATCCCTTCCAACGTTGTCGCCAGATGGAAGCTCTCCCATCGCTGTCACGCTGCTGGGCGACAGCCTGCCACGGCCGGCGGCATGTGCGCGGCCCATCACCGGCGGCACGTGCGCGGCCCAGCGGGGGGGCCAGGGACGCAATGGAATGAGAAGAAGCGCCGAGAGATCTGGGGAAACATCATGGCCCCCGCCATGATATGCACCCCCCCCTAGTCATCACCCCCCTCTTTGCCGCCCCCGAGGGCATGACAGGGCCGTGGTGGTTTACCGTGTTGTCCACTCTGCCCTTTTTGTTGCCCGTTCCGACGCGCCGTGTTTTGTTGCCGGGTGCGTCGCCGCTGTGGACTTGCCGGCTCTGGCTCCGGCTTCGACTCCAGAGCCGATTTTGTTGCCGTCTCTGGTCGCCGTTGTTTTGCCGTTCTCATGTTCAAGAGACACCTTTCGGAAACGGTGGAAACAAACGGCATTGCCGTTTCCGGGGCTCACTGAGGGATCGACTACAGAATTTAGTTACCCCAAACTTGGCATGTCCGTCGAAGCTACGGGAAGAAAAATACCTAGCATGTTCGTAGATGTACGAACCTTGCACGCGTTTTTTTCCAATCGCTTCGACGAACACATCAATGTTGGGGTAATTCAAGTCTGTATGTAGTCCATCCTCTCTTCGAGTCGTGTCGACCCCGGCGTTGGTTCCTGACACCGCGGGGATGGTACACCCCTTGAACGATCGGCCGTTTCCAGAACGTCAGATCTTTCAACATGAAACGGGGATCTGCTGACCCGGGTCAATCCAGACCCGGGTCAGTCAGGCCTTGCAGAATCCTGCAAGATCCTGCACCCAAACCCGAGTCCATGCGAAGGATCCTGCAAGATCTGGCAGGATCCTGCACCCAAACCCGGGCCAATGCGACCCCGGCCCTGCAGGATCCTGCAAGATCGGGCGCTCTGGCTGACCCCCGCTTGCGTGGACCCCCGTCCCAGGGCTGCCGAATGAAACGGTTCTGCGTCGCCAGCGGCGCTCCGCCTGGAGCGCCAGCGGCGAGGTCGCCGCCGGCCGACACGGCGCGAACCGCGCCGGGGGCCCAGCGCCGGTCCAGGAGAAGCCCGCACGGAGCTCCGAGGAGGGACGGTGCGGGCACTGGGTCGGGAGCCATTGCATGAGGCACCGTCCTCGGAGGAGGAGGAAAGAGGAGGAGGAGGAGGAGGAGGAGGAGGAGGAGGAGTCCAGGATCTGGAAGCCGGGCGAGCGCCGATCGTGGCTTGGCCGTGGATCTCACCGCCGCCCTCCTCGGACAAGGAACCCTCCGGGGGTCTAAAAAATCTCCTGGGCACATTCCTTCTCGAACGCCCCCGCCTAGCGGCGCGCAGAAGGGGGCAGGGGGAGGGGGGAAGGCGTCTTGGAAGGAGACTGCTTCTTAGAAAGCGCGGGCATCTACAGATAAGGCCACTGCCTTCTAAGAAGCAGGGTGCTTCTAAGAAGCATTCCCCCCTCCCTCCCCCCGCTGCGCGAGGCCGAATAGAGGAATAGCAAACGGCATGAGTATAATGTCTCGGAGGTCCGCGCAGATTGCTCGGATCAGTGCTGACCCACCTCTCTTGCGTTCCCTCGAGCCCGCCTGGGCGCAGTGAGGATCATGCCGCGAGTAGAGGAACAGCGGCATGAATATAATGTATCGGAGGTCCGCGCAGATTACTCGGATCGGCGCCGGAGGCACTGCCACGGGGGGCCCAACGCCGAGCCAAGCAGTCCGCGCGGAATTCTGGGAAAGTGTGTTTATGCCGTTGCTTATTCTTCGAGAGAAGGGGTGGGAGGAGAGGGAGGAAGCCAACCCTGGGAGTGCAAGAACGATTCGGATACCAATCAACCCCGAGAAACGGGCCACTGAGCCAGAGTATGCCTGATTCGGCCAAGCATTGAGCCAGATCAAGCCAGATTCAGCGGGACAATATTAACGTGGACTACGCCAGATCAGGGCAGCTCTCGACCACGGTCATGTTCACCATCGCCGATGCTGATTCAACGTCCCAAGAGTTGCATCCGAATACAGGGAGGGATTCCCAGGGTTTCCGCCATCCGTAGGGGAAACAAAAAACAGAAGGCTGAGCTCAGTTACCAGCTTTGGGAAACAAGCCCCTCGAAATCCGATCGAGATATTCCCGTCGGGTCTTGGAGATTGGTAGCGTGCACGGCTTGCCTAAGCCCCTGAGCTGGGCCTGACCGAACTAACCGCAGGGCAGGAGGGCGGAGGATCGAAGGATCGAAGGAGGGAGGGAGGAGGGAGGGAGGGAGGATCGAAGGAGGGAGGGAGGAGGGCGGAAGGAGGGGGAGATGGCAGGACGGAGGGGGGGAGGAGGGAGGGCGCGGCGGCGGGCGTGGGTGATCGGCATTTGAAACCCATGCCCCCCGCCCACGCCCCGGGCCCACACGTGGTCAGCGCGGGGATCCGGCTTCAAAGTCTGGCCTCCGAGGCCACGCCCCATACCCTGCTGCACCTGGCGCCGGGAGCGGAGGGCAGCAGCAGGGGTGTGGACTAAGTTGCTCCCATCGTACTTGAGGACCACGTCCCAGAAATAATTTCGAGCACCTAGAAGAGTATCGGGCGTTGGCAGAACTGGAGTTAGTGGGACCTGGTTGGATCATGTGTACTGGGGGACGCCCACCCCGCCCCGTTCCACTAACTGGAACTGCCGTCACCCGAAAAAAACACCAGCTACGACAAACCTGGTTAAAGGATTCTGGCCAATTTCGGGGCTCCCGGGCTCCCGGGCCCTACCACTGACCGGGTCCCCTTACCTGGGGTCCTCGCTGAACCCGCAAGCCTCGAAACAGTGTCGAACGAATACCGCCTCCTAAGGCACGACACGTGAAAACCCTCACACTTCGGTACTTTAAGGTGCTCGAGATTCGTTCCGGTGGGCGAGGCTCAGGTCCGCTGGAATTTCACAAGGTATATGGATCGAACGTTAATCGCCGAGGCCGGCCCCCTGCGCCCTCCGGCGCGCTCGGCTCCCAGCGCAGCGGCGCCCAACGACAGCCGGGGCGCGCGCCCCCCCGACGGAGCTGGGCACCGCGCCGCCCACCCTAACCAGCCTCGAACTGATCCCTATCCCTAAGATGGGCGAGCAAAAAGCGAGGACAATCTTAGGGATAGGCCCTCAGAAATTGTTGGAATCCTTAAGATCGGCATCGAGGTGAGGGGATGTCAAACATAGGGATAGGGATATGTGTCAAACTGGTAACACCCGCGGCCGCACACGCAGGCAGGCTCGGGAGGCCTGCAGTGCGCCTCGCCGAGCGCCCCGGGGGTGCCCGAGCCGCCCCGAACGGCCGCCGGAAGTCCGGAGTACGGTCAGGAGCCTTCTGCACAGCGTGTCGCGGCGGCGGCCCCGGCGACGCGCCGTGCCTTGCGGGCGGATGGCGTGTCGCTCCGCTCCGCGGGGCGGGGTGCTCGGAAGGGCTCGGGACATGGGCGCCCGGGGGCTGGCAGAGTGGGTAGCGTGTCGCGCCGAAGCGCGGAGATCCGGGAGTCGCAATTTTTTCGCACTGGGGCCGAGACCCCCCCCCTCCCGAGTGGGCCTTTGGGCGCCATCGATGCTGCAGGGGTGCACCGTGAGGGCGGTCGCCTCGCGGTTCGCCTGCTGCGCTCGAGCGGCGAGGCCCGACGTTGTCGTCGCCGTCGCCGCCGCTGTCGTCGCCGCCGCCGCCGCCGCCGTCGCAGCACCAGTGCAGCCGCACCCGCTGCCGCTGCCGCCGCTCGCCGCCGCGCGCCCGCGGCCTCCCTTTGGAGAAGAGCGGCTCCCCTTTGGAGAAGAGCGGCTCCCCGGCCCTCACGAGGCCCAGGGGCCCCCCTTTGGAGAAGAGCGGCTCCCCGGCCCAGACCGCGGAGCACGAGGCGGGGAGGGGGGCCCTCGTCGCGAGGGGGCCCCCGCGGGGTGGCGACGACCTGCGGGCTCGCGCGCGCGAGGGCGCGGGCGGGCGGGCGCGCTCTGCCGTCGGACATGCCCGGTGCGGGGAGGGCGTCGGCCCCTGGGACAGGGAGCGCGCTGGCGGCGCAGCGACAAGCAGGGTGCAGATTGAAGAAAGGAGCCTGGTTCCTCCTCTTCCGTTTGTTCCTTCTCTTCCTCCTCCTCCTCCTCCTCCTCCTCCTCCTCCTCCTCCTCCTCATTCTCCTTATCCTCCTCTTTTAAGTTGTATTTTTCTTCTTCGTATTATTAATAGTAATAGTGATATTATTAGTATTCTTGTCATTACGATCATTATATTACTATATCATTGCATTATTATCAGTATTATCATTATTATTAGTAGTATTACTATTACGATTATCATTAATATTATTATGATTATTAGTACTATTATTATTACTACTACTCTGATTATTACGACTATTATTTTTTAGCCGCAGTATGAATAGTATTATTATTAGTATTAGTGTTATTATTTCTATGCTTGATATTATTACTATTACTACTAGTATTAGGATTAGTATTAGTATTATTGGTAGTAGTAGTAGTAGCAATAGTAATAGGAATAGTAATAATAATAGTAATAGTAAAAACAATAATAATAGTAGTGATAGTAACAGTGAAAAGTAACAGTAACAGTAATAGTAATAGTAATAGTAATAGTAATAGTAATAGTAATAGTAATAGTAATAGTAATAGTAATAGTAATAGTAATAGTAATAGTAATATAATAATAGTAATAGTAATAGTAATAGTAATAGTAATAGTAATAGTAATAGTAATAGTAATAGTAATAGTAATAGTAATAGTAATAGTAATAGTAATAGCAATAGTAATAGTAATAGTAATAGTAATAGTAATAGTATTACTATTCTTATTATTATTATTCGTATTTTTATTCGTAGTATTATTACTCGATTATTTGTATGAGTCGTCTTCTTCTTAATTCTATTACGTATTATTAGTATTGCTCTTAAAATGTTTCTTTATATTATTCCCGTATGATTATTTTAATGCTTCGTATTAGTATTCCTCCTCTTCCTCCTCCTCCTCCTTTTCTTCCTCCTCCTTTTCCTCCTCTTCCTCCTACTCCTCCTCCTCCTCCTCTTCCTCCTCCTCCTGTTCATCCTCTTCCTCCTCCTCTTCTTGTTATTAGTAGTATTACTCTTATTGATATTATTCTTAATACTCACACTAATCGTAATATTATTGATATTAGTATAAGTATGATTATTCGTATTATTACTGTTATTAGTCCTCCTCTTCCTATTCTTCTTAGTCCTCCTCCTCCTCCCCCGCCTCCTCCTCCTCTTCCTCCTCCTTCCCCTCCTCTTCCTCATCCTCCTCCTCCTCCTCCTCCTCCTCACCCTTACCATCATCATCATCATCATCATCATCATCATCAGCATCATCATCATCATCATCATCATCAGCATCATCATCATCACCATCCTCGTCCACCTCCTCCTCCAACTCGTCATCCTCCTCCTCTTCATCCTCATCCTCCTCCTCCTCCTGCCCCCCTTCTCCTCCTCTTCTTCTTCGTCTTCTTCTTAGTACTTCATTGTTCGTCTTATTATCATGTGTTGATTAGTGTTATTGTTCTTATACGTTGTAGTATCATTGTTCTTCTTATCATCATGATTTCCGTATCATTATTCTTTGTATTATCATTATTCGTATTATTATTATTAATATTATTATTATGATTATTATTATTAGTCTTAGTATTATTAGTAGCATTATTAATAGTAGTACTATTATCCTTATTCGTTATTATTATTATTCTTCTTTTTAATATGAATATCAGTATTGTTCTTCTTTTTGCTGTTAGTATTATCTTTCCTATTACTCTCCGTATTATTATTATGTTGATTAGTCTTATTCTTAGTATCAGTATTAGTCGTAGTATTCTTCGCATTCTTCTTCTTAATACTACTATTCTTCTTAGTTGTCGTACCATTATTTTCTTATTATGGATATTAAGATTTCTAATAGTATTAGCAGTGGTATTACTATGATTGGTATTATTGTTATGAGTAGTATTAATATTATTCTTGATAGTAGCATTCGCGCTATTCCTCTTAATAATATCACTATTATGAGTAGCGTGATTAATATTAGCATCAGCGGTATTATCATCGGTAGCCTCATTGGCAGTAGTATAAGTGGTCTTCTTAATGAAATTGGTCGTATTATTAACACTATTGTTCGTTTACTTCGTCTTTCTAATATTGTGTCCTTCGTCGTCTTATTCGTAGTATTATTCACATGAGTCTTAGTGTACTTCTTCTTATGAATAGTATTAGTCTTATTCGAATTCGTATTATCAAAAGTATTCGGGATATTCTTCTTCATAATAGTATTCAGGTAATTATTACTATTAATATCATTTTTAGTGTGATTATTCTCATTAGTGTTATCCCCATGTATGGTTGTTAGTATTCGTATTCTTCGTATTATTAGTATTATTAATATGTGTCGTCTTCTTCTTTTTCGTCGTCCTCCTCCCCCTCCTCCTCCTCCTCCTCCTCCTCCTCCTCCTCCTCCGCCTCCTCCTCCTCCTCCTCCTCCTCCTCCTCCTCCTCCTCCTCCTTCCTCCTCCTCCTCCTCTCCTCCTCCTCCTCTTCCTCCTCCTCCTCCTCCTCCTCCTCCTCCTCCTCCTCCTCCTCCTCCTCCTCCTCCTCCTCCTCCTCCTCCTCTCCTCCCATTCCTCCTCCCCTTCCTCCTCCTCCTCCTCCTCCCCCTCCTCCTCCTCCTCCTCCTCCTCCTCCTTTTCTTCCTCCTCCTCCTCTCCATCCTCCTCCTCCTCCTCCTCCTCCTCCTCCTCCGCCTCCTCCTCCTCCTCCTCCTCCTCCTCCCTCCTCCCCTCCTCCTCCTCTCCTCCTCCTCCTCCTCTCCTCCATCCTCCTCATCCTCCCTCCTCCTTGTCCTCTTCCTCATCCTCCTCCTCGTCATCCTCCTTTTCCTCGTCTCCGCTCCTCCCCGCCTCCTCCCCCCCCGTCCTCCTCCTCCTCCTCTTCCTCCTCCTCCTCCTCCTCCTCCTCCTCCTCCTCGTCCTCCTCGTGTGAGGGTTCAACGTTGGGTCCACAGCCTTTGGTCGCCCAGGCGAAGCCCTATTACTAGTGCGAGCCAACGTGGACCACAAACCGTATGTGGTAACAAATTATGTTGCGCAGCCGATGTGGTGCATAAATCTATATATGGGGTGTCAGCTACGCGATGTGGTGCATAAATCTATATATGTGGTGCATACATCTATATATGTGGTGAAATAGTTATAGTTCGCGATCTGTGTACGCAAAAAATGGGGTGCATGACGCGTAATATCATATATGTGGTACCAGCTGAGTGGCACAACGTACGTTAAGTAATATGTGTGGTTACGTATACGTGGTGCAACGAATTTGGTGTAACATACGTGGTGCAATCTATGTGGTGCAACTCACTTGTCGAACTTGACGTCGTCAACTCCACTGCTCGCGCAATCACCCCACCCACCCACCCGCAACTTGGTTTGCAAAACCCATGCGGAACCGATTGCGATAAGTGTTTGGTGTTGTCAGGTGCATAGTTGCGGCCGCGCTAGCCCACACATGCTCGCGCGCGCCAGCCAGCCAGCTAGTTTGGCGCGACCGACGCGAAAGCGGTGGCGCTGACCGCGCGGCACATCCCAACGGGCACCGCAGTGCGAGTCGGCGACTTGGGCGGGCGCAGTATCATGGCAACGTCGACAACGGTAGGCACGATTATGATAGTAGCGATGGTGCTGGCGATGTTGGCAGCGACGACGGGGCAGACAGTGACAGTGCCGATGCTGATCACGCCGACGACGATGACGGCGTCTTCGCGTCGGAGATGACGGTTTTGATCGGAGTTCGAAATGCGCGCGCGGCAGTCGCGCGAGAGTGGGCCGCATGGCACTATGTGACACGGGTCGTGCCACCCCAGCACGCGCGCAAGGGCGTTCGAACGATTCCGACATGCGCGCGCGAAGCCCGTTTGGTAGCATGTCATGAACACGTTGAAAACCAATGGTTTTCCAAATACTTCGCAAAAACGCGCGCGCAAGTTATTGTTGGAAATCCGCTTGCGAAGCCACGTGTTGTGTTTAAAAATGTTCTTGGGACACTCGATTTTGAACCCCTTCCAGAACCCAAGGGTTTGGGAGGATTGCGGCATTCGCGCGCGACGACGCGCGCACTTCGCCATATCTGGTCAAAGGGATCTGTGGGAGCTCAAGTTTTTCGATAAACGAATCCGCGCGCATCGCGTTTTTTTTCCAAAGGATGGCGGAGGGGGTCGATGCCAGCTTAGCTGGAACGATACGTGTTCAGATTTAGGATGGACGACTGGGCAGAATCATGCGCAACTTGCAATGGGAAGAGAGGCACCGATATTCCCGGGGGGGGGAGTTCGTTATATAAAGAAATGCTGAACAGGAAATTGTTGCCCACTCCACTGCTCGCGCAAACATCCCACCCACCCACCCGCAACTTGGTCTGCAAACCCCGCGCGGCGGCGATTGCGATGAGTGCTTGGCGTTGGCTGGTGCATCTCTGCGGCCGCGACAGCCCGCGCACGCACGCGCGCGCGTGAATTTCGGCGCGACCGACGCAGCCGCGGGGGCGCTGACTGCTGGGCGCACCCCAGCGGGCATTTCAATGCGA